TCTGATTCTCTGCGACCAAGAGATTGGCCATAAATGCAGAAAGGAGAGCTGGAGACTGAGATTTCACAAAGAACTTTGAAAGCTCTGATATTTACCTGGTGAACAAGAAACTCACATGCATTTGCAGGGCTTTGAGTTTGTCCAGAAGATGTCTAAGAGGGCTCCAATCTCTCACCCCTTGGTGACCTTGAGGTCCTGCACAAACAGGAAGTTAAGGCTAAGGTAGAGTTGCAAAACAGACCTGACCACTGAGGCTTTTGTCTAGACACACAGACACCCACTCACACACAGGTGCCCTCAGCAAAGATGAAAAGGCATATGGTTTCAAAGTATTTAAGGAAGTCTTTGCACACAGATTCACTGTGTACCAGAATAAATCTTGTAGAGTTATCTGGGTATGCTGATTCAACGTTTACTCTGTGGGTAATGATCTGCGTTATTAAAGTTTTATCTAACTTGAGTTGGAGTTATTGGTGATACTACCAGGATCCCAAAGGCATTTAGATGAGTCTTGATTTATTACCTTGGTCTGTTATGGGAAAATTGTCTGAGACTTGGGTCTTAGAGTTCCAGATAAAGACCATGTCGTCACCAATGTATCCTGCTGTAGCTGAAATAATGCCTCAGGCCAGGTAAAAGATGCCTGCATCAACTACAGAAAGACAGCCTGATGGTCAGTTCAGTTGGTTGGTCCATGACTTTGGAGGTCATTCCTACAGGTGGGCCTCATTCTGCTCTATGAAATCCTGTTGATAGTATGGGACTTAATTAAATGCTGTACTAGAAAAAAATGGAACAAAATTGGTCTCAGATACTGTGAGTGAGATTAATTAGAGTGGCTGACAGGGGTGTATTCATGGGAAAATTTAGCAGAAGTCAAAAAAAAAATATAGAAACTATGGATGAACATCATTTTGAGATGATTCATGGTGAGTCTCTCATGTTTCTGTATGTCTTACAAGAAGAAACACTGTTTACCTTTGTTCCAGATAATCATTTCAAGGATTTTTTTTTTTATAACAAATGGCTTTACAAGATGGAGTTAATATTTCCCTCTGGATCAAATATGAAGTTTTTATATTGTCTGCATAACAAAGGCAATGTGTCCCTCTGAGGCAATGGGCCTACAGTTGGGCTGAGCACTCTATAGCATTTGGGTTGCTCAGCTAAATACAGACTCATCCTCCAGGCCTCTCTCCTTTGCTCCTCTGGAGAAGAGGAGAATGAGCACAGCATTTTTCTCACAGGACTTGCTGGACTATGATTAATAACATTCTTTATATCTAACTCAGAAATCTAGATACTGTCAGTATCTATGATATATAACAATCAACTTTTTAGTTTGTAAATAAAGTCTGACCTTTAAGAGTTCTTGGCAGCTCAATTCCAGAAAAATAAATGACCTAATCAAAAGATGGGCCAAAGAACTAAACAGACATTTCTCCAACGAAGACATACAGATGGCTAACAAACACATGAAAAGATGCTCAACATCACTCATTATCAGAGAAATGCAAATCAAAACCACAATGAGGTACCATTATACGCCAGTCAGAATGGCTGCTATCCAAAAGTCTACAAGCAATAAATGCTGGAGAGGGTGTGGAGAAAAGGGAACCCTCTTACACTGTTGGTGGGAATGCAAATTAGTACAGCCACTATGGAAAACAGTGTGGAGATTTCTTAAAAAGCTGGAAATAGAACTGCCATATGACCCAGCAATCCCACTTCTGGGCATACACACCGAGGAAACCAGATCTGAAAGAGACACGTGCACCCCAATGTTCATCGCAGCACTGTTTATAATAGCCAGGACATGGAAGCAACCCAGATGCCCATCAGCAGACGAATGGATGAGGAAGCTGTGGTACATATACACCATGGAATATTACTCAGCCATTAAAAAGAATTCATTTGAATCAGTTCTAATGAGATGGATGAAACTGGAGCCCATTATACAGAGTGAAGTAAGCCAGAAAGATAAAGACCATTACAGTATACTAACACATATATATGGAATTTAGAAAGATGGTAACGATAACCCTATATGCAAAACAGAAAAAGAGACACAGATGTACAGAACAGACTTTTGGACTCTGTGGGAGAAGGCGAGGGTGGGATGTTTCAAGAGAACAGCATCGAAACATGTATATTATCTAGGGTGAAACAGATCACCAGCCCAGGTTGGATGCATGAGACAAGTGCTCGGGCCTGGTGCACTGGGAAGACCCAGAGGGATGGGGTGGGGAGGGAGGTGGGAGGGGGGATCGGGATGGGGAACACATGTAAATCCATGGCTGATTCATGTCAATGTATGGCAAAAACCACTACAATATTGTAAAGTAATTAGCCTCCAACTAATAAAAATAAATGAAAATAAATAAATAAATAAAAGTTCTTGGCAAACAGATAAAACCCAGGAAAAAATAATAATTTATTTTGAGAAAATATTTAGCAAGTTTTTGACAAAGACATACATTCACAATATATTCAAAATCACCTCACTGAAACATAAAAGGAAACAAAAGCAGCTTTACATCTGCTAATAAGAAAACACCTATGGAATAGGGTACAGGCTGCCAAAAATAGAGAATTTGGGTTCTGACAATAATAAATATCACACTATGTTTTCAAACAAAAATTATAAATCTTACTTATCTGATTTAAACTATACAATAAAATGTGGTATTACTTTATGAAAATGAACTTTAATCTAAAATTATAAAATTAATATACAAAAAATACTTAATCGGTAAAATGTACAAAAGACATAAGTAGTCTTTATGTGGTATAAATATTGTAATCCTCTTTGACAAAAGCAGTTTACAAAAGCATTAAAAAAAAACCTTTAGAGCATTTTGATTTATGGCAAAATTGAGAGGAAGTTAAAGAATTCCTATACATCCTGAACCCCCTCACATTCAAAGCCTCCCTGTCAATACCCCCCATCAGATGGTATATTTGTTACAGACAATGAACCTCCATAGACACATAGTCACCCAAAGTCCATAGTTTACATTCATTTTGGATGTTCTCCACTCTATGGGTTTGGACAAGAGTAATATGAATGACAGGTACCCACTATTATAGTATCAAAAATAACTATTCCACTACCCTAAAAATTTGTACTCCACCTCTTCATCTTCCCTGTGCCACAACCTCTGATAACCTTGATCTTTTTACTATCTCCATAGTTTTACTTCTTCTAGAATGTCATACAGTTGAAATTATACAGTTTGTAGTCTTTTAAAAAAATATTCATTTTTAATTGATCAAAGATTGCTTTACAATACTGGTTTGATTTCTGCCATCAGCAGCATGAATTAACCATAGGTGTACATATGTCCCCTCCCTCGTAAATCTCCCTCCCACTTCCCCCCATTCCCACCCCTATCGGTTATTACAGAGCCCCAGTTTGAGTTCCCTGAGTGATACAGCAGATTTCCCACTGGCCATCTATTTCCACATATCACTGTACATGCATCCATGCTACTCTCTCCCTTCCTCTCACCCTCTCCTCCATCCCTGTCCATAAGTCTGTTCTCTATGTCTTCATCTTCATGGTTGCTCTGCAAACAGATTGATCAGTGTAGCCTTTTTAATATTGGCTTCTTTCACTTAGTAACATGCATTTAAGTTTCATCTATTTTTAATGATTTGTTGGCACATTTTTTTAGTGATGAATTATATTGTATTGTCTAGCTGTACTATGGTTTATTTATCCACTCATCTACTGAAGGATATCTTGGTTGCTTCCAAAGTTTAGCAGGTATGATAAAGCTGCTATAAACTTCTGTGTGTAGGGTTTTGTGTAAGCATATGTTTTCAATTCTTTCAGTAAATAGCAAGGAGTGAAATTGCTGGATCATATGGTAAGTGTGTTTAATTTTTTAAGTAACTGTCCAGCTGCCTTCCAAAGGAGCTGTGCCATTGTGCATTCCCACCAACAATGAATGAGGGTTCTTCTTGCTCCACATTCTCACCAGCATTTAGTATTATCAATGTCCTGGATTTCATTAATTCTAATTTACATGTAGTAACAGAAAATGTTACTTTTATAAAAACTCATTGTTTTCTTTCCTAAATGGTACTTTCATTTGCCTGCAAGGAATTAAAATGAATATGTCCTCCTTCCCTCCTAAATACTATATTTTCTATTTTAATTGAAAAACGAATGGTGCTCATTTTGTAGCTTATTAGTTTGAAATGCAATAAACATCTTAAAAAGTGTACCAAACAAAATGTAATTGCATAAAGAAAACCAAGGTCAATAGATAAGATATTGCCAAGAAATCTTTCTACTACTCTGTCTCAATCTCTTCTTTTTCCCCTCAAATAAATAGTAATCATTTTTTACTTTTATTAACTTATTGAATATCTAGAAACATTGTTTTGCTAGAGTTTTTATAATACCATATAAATGAAATAATAAAATGTGCAATCATGACATTTTCCAACTTTACTGAGGTATAATTGACAAAATAATTATATTTGTACATTGTGATTATTTGATATATATATCAAAGCATTCTTATGTCTTTGATTTTTATTAATATTTTAATTTTGAGTTAGATCCAATTGATTGTTTATCCTCCTTTTGAGTCTTATTTTTCTGGTCTTGTAATTTTTTACAAGACACTGTAATTTTTACCTTATTGGATGCTGGATAGTCCTTATTTAATCTTGAACTTTGTTCCAGGAAACAAAGTTACACGGAAATAGTTTGCTCATTTCTGGGCTTGCTTTTAAGTTGTGTTAGATGGGAACATAACAGCTAATTTTTTTCCACCATTAAAGTTGCACAACAAGCTTCTGTGTACAGTACCTGATGTTAGATCTCTGTTTTCCACTGTGACTATTTGGGACATAAACTCCAGTTGACACTGGATGGGCCTAGGAATTGCTCTGTCTGTTCCTTCCAGGTGATTACTCCCCCAGACTCAGGTAAGTTTCTGACATGTATGCACTTCAGTAATATATGTTCACTCTTTCCTCTCTAGTGTTTGTACTCTTGAAACCTGGCCTCATGGCTCCCAGCCTCACAGCTCCATCTCCCCAGTCAAAGGAAACACTCCTGCCTCTGTGGGTTCCCCTCCACAATGTGGTCTTGACATAAACCTCACATCTTACTAAGCATTAGCTCAAATAAACAAAGATCTGATTTTTTAAACTGTTAAAATTGTTTAACAATTGTTAATTGCTTCTTACATAAAACATCTGTAAGAAAACATAGAAGAATATCTGAATGACTTCAGTTTGGTAGTGAGTTTTTAGAAGGATACCAGAAGGATGATCCATGAAAAAACATTGATTGATTGGAGTTCATAAAATTTTTAATATGTATTTGCTCTATATGCAGGGCACTATTAAGAAATTTAAGGAAACCACAGGAAAAATACAAAATATTGGCAAATTAGATGTCAGATGTAGAATGTATCCAGAATATTTAAAAATAACACAATACACAAAAATAAGAAAATAAGAGACCTAAGTAAAAAGACAGCAAAATAAATGGACAATTTTCCAAAGAAACTACATGACAGACAAAGGATAATATGACTAATGATGTACATTAATCATTCTAAAATGAAAAGTAAAACCATAGTGAGATGGCACTTCACACATATTTTGCCAGAAAAGCAAAAATAACAACACATAAATGGACAATACCACATTTTAGAGAGATGTAAGAGCTGAGGGGATTTTTGTAAAGTTGGGGTGAGAATACAAACTGAGACAACCGCTGCAGTTGGTTTTTTTTTTTTTTTAAATAAAGTAAGACGTATACTTCCATCCTAAAGGAGATCAGTCGTGCGTGTTCATTGGAAGGACTGACGCTGAAGCTGAAACTCCAATACTTTGGCCACCTCATGCGAAGAGTTGACTCATTGCAAAAGACCCTGATGCTGGGAGGGATTAGGGGCAGGAGGAGAAGGGGACGACAGAGGATGAGATGGCCGGATGGCGTCACCTACTCGATGGACATGAGTTTGAGTAAACTCCGGGAGCTGGTGATGGACAGGGAGGCCTGGCGTGCTGCGATTCATGGCGTCGCAGAGAGTCGGACACGACTGAGCGACTGAACTGAACTGAACTGATACCTGTGGGTAGAGAGCAAATCGGTCAAGATGGCGTGTGCCGGCTCTCTCGCCCCACGTTTTGAAAATAGTGACTATGTAACAGCTGAGCTCATTTGTAGCACTGCACATGCACGTCGCAAGGTGCTCACTCGGTCGCAGGCTACTTTGTGCAGTATGCATATGTGAGCTCCACCTACAAAGGGGCAGCATTACTGCTCACCACGAGAGGAGAGAATATGTCTGCTGCTCCAGCTGCTGCGTCAGCCAGGAGAGAGACTGTTATGGCTGCCCTGCCAACCCGGAGAGAATAAACGTGTCTGCAGTTCTTAGGGCTTCTTGAGTCTTTTTACAACCTCTTAGCTCGCACCTTGCCTGCCCTAGGTTCAGCGAACAGTACGAACAGGGTGAACAGATAACGTGCTGTAAGCAGGATCAGCAATACGTAATGTATACATACATGGTAATAATACAGTCCAGCAATCCCACACCTAAGTATTCACTAAGTGAATTAAAAATATATAAAAATAAAAATATATGTTCACACAAAACCTGTACATAATTGTTTACAACAGCTTTATTCATAATTACCAAAGAATGAAACAATCAAGATTTACATCAATAGATGAATGGGTAAATAAGCTGTGATGTATCCATGCAATGGAATATACTCAGTGATAAAAAAGAAAGCAAGCTATTAACATCGATTAATATCAACTGCCTTTTGCTGAGGTAAAGAAATCACACACAAAAACTATACCTTGCATAGTCCCTTTCAATGACATTCTGGAAAACACAAACTGTAAGGATGGAGAAAAGATCTGTGTTTGTTTGGGGTTGAAGGGATGTTTGACAACAGATCACATAAGCAATTTTTTAGGGTGATAAAACCATCCTCTTTATACTGTTGGTGATGAATGCATGGCTTTATAAAAAATCCATAGAATTGTGTAACATAAACACTAAACTTTGCTGTATGCAAATTAAGCTAATCAACTAGAATTTGGGGGAAATCCCTGGATAGGATGGTGATTTTACAAATAAACATGACTATATTTCTAATTTTCAGCATAATCCCACTAAAGGGAGTTGGGATAAAAGACTCTGACCTAGAGTCAGCAGTGTTTTGACTGGAAACTCTAAGGCTGAAAGACGGAGGGAAGAGCACATAAATAATAATTGCATATGCTAAATTTATGTCTTGTATCTGTATGTGTTAACTATTCTTCAAACATGTTACATACATCTAGGGTCAAGCAAATTCTTAAGTAAATTATAAGTAATAGTAGCCACGTTTCTAACTGTCACAGTGAGAAGTTACAATTAAGAAAGTATAGGGGAAAGCTTCTTTGGCAGTCCAGTGGTTGAGAATCTACCAGCCAATGCAGGGGACACAGGTTCAAACCCTGATCTGGAAAAATCCCACAGGCTGCAAGGCAACTAGGCCCACGCTCCTCAATTACTGAGCCCACACACCCTAGAACATGTGAGCTGCAACAAGAGAAGCCACCACAATGAGAAGCCTGCACGCCAGAACCAAAGGGTAGCTTCCAACCTGCAACTAGAAAAAGCCCATATACAGCAGCAGAGACCCAGCACAGCCACAAATAAATAATAAATAAATATTTTTAAAAAGTGTGGGTAGGGGAAGAGTGAAAGTCCTATGGAACTGAATTTATTGAAGATACCAGGATGAATTTATCAAAATATATAAAAAGACAGATATACCCAAAATGAATATAGTTATATATATATATATATATATATATATGTCAGAATAACATACACAAAAGTGACATGCACCTCATTTGGACATTCACTCCAACCTGATTACCAAGTAACTCCAAAGCTCACCAGTTTTGAGTGGGATCAAAAGGACACACAGTATGTCCAGGCTGCCATATGACTTGCTTAGCCTTTTGAACCACAGGAACCAAGAACCAGTGATCCTTGAATTGTGTGGGACACATAGTGAAGCAGGTTCTCACAGGTGATTCAAAGAACCTGAAGACTTTTGCATAAGGCTCTACAATCTTTTATAAATTACTGTTTTCATTTTGAGAAATGTCTTCAGGGTTGTTATTGGGCATTAGTAAAGACTCAACACTTTACTATAAACTACCAAGTTATCATGAGACCTGAGTAGCCCATGATGAACTAAGTGGGAATGGATGACACAGAACCACCTCTGCTGTTGGGGTCCTTTAATGGACCGGAACCTGGTGGTACGGAGTCGACGATAAGAAAGTGAAAGAGAGAAAGAGGCTGATATCCCTTGGTTTACGCAGAGGAGCAATAAAGTCCTTGACACAGGACTTGCATCGCTCACGAAGGCACCAGGCGCCCTCTCGAGGGGGTCTTAGAAGCCAGGGCAGAAAAGTGAGCACGACGGGTCTCCACGCTCCAGAGAGTCAGCCAGAAAAAGAGAGAGAGAGAGAGAGAGAGAAAGAGAGAG